AAATATTTTATATAAATTTTTTTTTGTATTAAAATGTTTAGCAGCTCTCCTAGTCTTCTCCAAATTTTATATAATTTTTATTTTTTTATCTAAAAAAAATTGTCACACAACTTATCCCACTGTGCAAGCAGCATGGCGTGTGTACCGCGCACTTGGCTTTCAGCTGCCGCCGCTTCGTCGCTCCGGCAGTCAACCGCTTTGCAGAGCCTTTTTAGGCTTACTGATGCTGCGACCGCCACGCCGCCACAATGCCGTGGCTGCGCCAAACACAAATACAAGTATGCAACGTTATTGTGGCATGCAACGCGGCAGCTCGCCGTAAATTGCGCGTTTCTTATCACATGCGGACTGAGCGGCGGCAAAGGCGGTCTAAAAATAGACGCCCAGAAAATGGCAAACATTCAATAGCTTTGTGCAACGTGCAGCGTGCAACGTGCGACACAGACAACGGGCATGCAACAGTGCACAAAAAATGCTCCAAACTGCATCGTGGCGGTGCGGCAGCAATGTTAGCGATGACGGCGGCGATGGCGATGGCGACAGGCGCATGGCATCCTTCTGCAATGCGGCGCAAATTTTCCAAGGAACAATGCAAGCGAACAGCAACAACAAAAGCTGCACAGCTGCCGAGACAGCTACGACAACAATTACAAAGAACAAAAACACTAACGCTTGTATACAAGTATCTTGTTTTTGTGTGGTGCGCTGCCATTATTGTTGTTATTGTAAAAAGGGCGCATCATGAAATGCACTGATGCTATTAAATTGATAGCGCGCGCGCTCAACTCAGCCGCCTTGCAAGCGCGCCAACTTAGCGACGCGGCGCGCACTGGCATAGCGCGCAGTGTCGGGCGGCGCATGTGGTTTTTGTTTGCGCGCTGGCTTGAATTGGCTTAGCTTGGTTTGTTTACTTCATGCGACTACATTGCATGTTGCACGATTGTCAGCTGCAACAACAAAAGCAAAATGGCATCAGCGCACAGCCCCAATGCCATGTAACGTGTTGTCCATAGCAAAATATTTAGACGCGGCAAAAAAGTGAATAATTTACAAGGAATCAATGTGGGCGCGATGTGTCAAGTTCCCTTTTTTTCGCTCGCTAGAGAGGGGTATCTTATCTATTGGATTTGCTTGACAGTTACTTAAGGACGACCACAGTTTGTCGTAGCGACACACTTATTGGCTTACGAACATGTGTAGTTCGAAGCGAGTGTATGCTTTGGAGGGTTAAAGTACTGCGACCTTCAAGGTCTTTTGCTACATCAAATAACCTCGAAACAAATGTAGGAAGAAAAAATAAATATATGGATACTCTGCTTAGAAGCATTAAAAGCAACTGCAGGAATAGTCTAAGCCAAGACAATCGATATATGAAATCTAAGTTTTGGGGGGTAACTCCAAGATGCTCACAAATAATTTTCAATATGTATATTATCAATAATTTCAACAAAAAATAAATTATAATCTTTTATTCCACAAGTTACTTTCGCTCTTGCGCCCTCTCTATATCACTTTCTGCTGTATAATTTGTCGACCAATAGGAAAGCTGCATGCCTCTTTTGTGTTTACTTATATTGAAGCCTTACGCTATTGCGCCCTCTCCGTTATTTTCTCTGCGCTGTAACTAGGCGACCAATAGGAAAGCTGTATGCCTCCTTTGTGTTTACTACGCCATAAAGTGTGTACTATTTTACCAGAAAATCTAATGACGATGGAGCAAAGATGCTCACATAATTTCCCATGTAACTTTTGTACCCCGAAAAGAAAAACATAAAGTGTTATCTCTCATAAGTTACGTTGTTTGCGCTGGCACTAGTGCACCAATAGGAAAGCTGTATGCCTGCTTTGTATTTATAATGAGCAAAAGTTCTCAAATATTACATAAAGCTAACAGTTGCTTAGAGAAATTCAAGCTTGTGTACTTATTAGTGAAACTAGTGGAGTTTTTACTTTCTGATTTAGTACGGAGATTTTGTTATAGGGCTTCCATGTATGTTCAAATCAGAGCTGAATAGAGAGCTCTTTGTTACCTTATGATTCTAATATATATTTCTTAATTTCAAAGCTTAGCTTACCACGGTAACGCAATGCAAAAAGCTTCATTTTATTACCTGAAATTGTAAAGAAAATAAATTTAATTAATATAAAATAAAATATAAGAACATTTTGGCTTTTAAAATCTAAAATTTGTATGGCATATATATCTGATTTAAGAAAGAGTATAGCTTCCATTATAATATTTCCTTCTACGCTTCGTAATACGTGCTTTTTTAAAACAATTACCTGGCAACCCTTTCAATATAAGCTTACACTTACGAGTTATTTATTTGTGGTCCATTTCGAACTGATTTTATTTTGATGTTTATGAGACTCTCAGCTGAAATTGAACTGTCACAACTGTCACACTTCTCAGCTGAAATTGAACTGTCAATTGGGCAAATTCCTCAGCAAAGTTGTCAGATTTTTTATAACCTGAACGTCTTTTTCTACCTAAGAAGCTGCTTTCATATCGGAACTGCTGATATCGGACCACTACCAGTTATAACTGTCAGACAAAATAATTGCTCTAAATCGAGTTCTTAACTTTAAAACTGTTTATTTGACGTGAGATCTTCATGAAAATTTGTGTAGATTATTATCCAAGGCGACTGCGCATCTATCAAACAAATAATTTAGATCGAAATCTTGTACTATAGCATATGACCATCACAGAAATTTACCAATCATAATCGTAGTTTTATATTTTTAATATAAAAGTTCAGGGTTCAAAAAACATAGATAACTTCCTGGCAATCAGTATAAGCCTGCAAGAGAGAAATACTTTTAGATTTCTTCTGCTTATTTTTACTCCAACAAAAAAACTGTTTCTTATTAACTGCCACGAAACCATTAAATCAACAGCTTCAAAGCTATTTGCGTGTTTGGCACGCGTTTTCAATTGATCGCCGATTACTTAAAGAAAAATTCGAAAATCGTTGAAAAATACAAAGAAGAAAAACAAAATCTCACAAATTAAAGGAGCACTCTTGACTGCAGAAGAACGCGAAAGCTACACGCAAATAGCACGATGCACATATTTATTGTAGTCTTTTTAAATACTATTAAGTTAATCCTTTATTTGTGTATTGTTGGCGCTGATTACCCCAGAGATTACAACACGAAACCAGCAGGCAGCAGGCAGCAGCCACGAGGAGTGCCATAAAGTATAAAAGCTGCAAGAGCAATGAAAAGGGCAGTGGCCGACCTAAACAATTGCTGAAAGGTAAAGTACATTGTGGACTATGTAAAATATACATGTACCAATATGAAGGTATAAACAGTGCACGCAGCCGTTAGCCCTTCTGCGCTGGAGTCTGCGCGCCGGACAGCATTGACCCGCGCTTGGGATGGGCTACTGCAATGCGCGTACACCAGCGCCTCGCTTCTACTTCTGTTATATATACAATATATATAGATCTGTAGATCTCTTTGTGTGCTTGCGCCTACTTTTAGACGCATCTATCACCACATGTGCCGGCTGTGCAGGCGTCGCTTGGCTATCTTTAGACTTGTAGGTGAGTTTAAATTTAACTGCAAGACAAGAATATTGTTTGTTATGTTGTCGTTGAGTTATTTATAGATTGGTGCGAATTTACAATATCGAATCGAGGCGAATGCTGTGAAGTGTATGAAGCTTGTATTGGACTGGAAGTGGAAGGTATGGAAGGCAACACGCGGTGTGCAGCAGGCGGTATATGAAGAGTATACAAGTAGGGAGCATAACAGAGAGCTGGAGGAAAACAAAAACAAGTTTGTAAAAGTACGCGAAGGACAAGCTGGTAAATTTTTAATGTTTTTGAGTAAACTTAATTTCAACTAGTTCCAAAAGAATTGTGGATACTAGTGGATAAGTATGTTAGGCAACACTAGAACTTTTTTGAGATCTTCGAAATCACATCTTGGCCGGATGAAATCTGATACATTTCCGACATGAACTAAAAAAATAGGCAATACTAGGAAGTAGTTTAGAAAAAAAATTAGTAACCCCGGTAGCGCATGTTTAAAGCCTCTAGATTTCTACTGAATCCTTAGTTTGAACAAAAGATAAACTAAGGAACTTCTCAAGTCCCCACTTAATCGCAAGAAACAGCAACAGGAGAAGAGATGGACGTATGGACGCTACTAGATGACTGATAGGTGTTTCTGTCTTTCAATTTTGAGGATTTTGAACTTTGGTTCCGGCTGCAAGGATGCATAAAAATATGAAGATTGTAAAACTTTGGATCTGGCTCCGAGAATCCATAACAATATGAAAGTCTCTGTGGGCAATAACCAGCTGCTGTTGTACTGCAGATAATAGAAATTCCTGTAGATCACAACAGATGACGCGATCTTTTACAGTTTGGAAGTCCCCTCAGATGAGTAAAAAATATGACGTGATTAACACCAGGGTGCATTACAAAGGCAAAGCACATTTGCTTATGTGTTTAGAATGAGGTTTCCATTCGAGTGGATATGGTAGAACAAGACAGAAGCTAGAGTGGAGATGAAACTGGCAAGCAGAGCTTCGGCAAATGGAAGCAGAAGTTTACGAGCTACATTCTCCTCTCATAGCCCTATCGAAAAGTGGACTGCATTACAAAGCCAACGAACTTTTGCTTAGAATGAGGTTTCCATTCGAGTGGATATGGTAGAACAAGGCAGAAGCTAGAGTGAAGATGAAACTGACAAGACAATTTATGCTAGAAGCTCATGGACTAGACTTCCATCTCACAGTGCTATCGAGAAGTTTCCTACCTGAAGGATATGGAAAAGCTGGAAAGCAGAGCTGCGTCCAAATGGAAGCAGAGGTCATGGAGCTAGACGCCCCCTTCACAGCGCAATCGCGGAATGGAGCAAAATACCATTTTAAACATAAATACCCGATTCGTAACCGAATGGGATCTGACTTTTATGCGACCACGGATTGTCAACTCGGTGTATACCTACAAAATACCTCAGGGATGTTTTTTTTTTTTTTGCTGCTAACAAGATGTACAATTTTTCACCTAACAATATATTCTACCGTTTTTCAGCACATAAACTATCCGCAACTCGTTTAAATATAAGTTTAGATAGCTGAAACCGGAATACAACTAGATCTGCTTTCCGTAAAAGCCTTTACTGAAAGCAAAAAATCGTAATAAAACCGATGCTTCATTGTCAATCGAAAGTTCGTAGAAAGTAGTGAAAATAAAACGACAAAAAATCACCAAGCGATTACAATCCAAATTGGCGGCGGAAAATGCGAAGCGTACCTCCAGCTAATTAAAATGTTCATTAAAGTGATTTTTCGTCGCTAATTTCACGCGGCAATTACCGTTGAATTACATGCGAAAAGTCGACATTTGTGCCCGTTTCCATATGAAAATTCGTGAGTTCAAAAACACACATAAACCAACAAGGAAATAAGAAGAAATAATGAGCAGAATTAAAATGCCAAACTGTCCGACTGCAAATGTGATCGCTTGCAGGCAGCAATTCACCGATATTTGCTTTTTCTTCGGCAGTTTTCTCATTTTTTCGCGGCTATAGTGAACTTTGGTTTTTTTGTTGGGATTTCCTTATATTTTTGTTGTAATTTTCTTTTGTTGCGTGTTGTTGTTGTAACTTTTTTTGTTGTAGTCTTTTGTTTTTGTTGTGTTTTTTTGTTTTTTTTGCGATCGTGTTTTTGTTGTAAATTTTTGATTTTGTTACGATTTTTGTTGTTGTTGTAACTTTTTTAATTTTTGTTGTAATTTTTAGTTTATGTTGTGATTATGTGTTTTTATTGCGATTTTTTGTTTTTGTTGTAATTTTCTGTTTTTGTTGTAACTTTTTGTTTTTGTTGTAACTTATTTTATTTTTGTTGCATTTTTTCTTTTTATTGTAAATTTTTGTTGTGATTTTTCGTTTTCATTGTAACTTTTCTAGTTTGTTGTATTTTTTATTAAACTCATTTTTTTGTTGCTTTTGTTCTTCACTACTTTTCGCTTAATCACTCGAAATTGATCAGTGATCCGTGATTTGACATCCAAAGTAGCTGCGCGCCATCGATCGCTGGATCGAATCACGCACACACACAGAGTCGTGCAAAAACGAACGACTACACAGCGACTGATTAAAAGAGTATCTCTACCGAGTCCCACTCAAATTGTTGTGAACTACATTGAATTGCCGCCAAATGCCATGGCAGTGTCGTCAGCAGCATGTCTGTCCGCAAGTCACTTGTACAGTCGCTCCGTCAGCACGTCCGTACGTCCGTACGTCAAACTATCAGCGCGTCAATCCGTCAGATCGTCAATCAGTCGCTCACTCACTCATTCAAGCCAAGGCAGACCAGGCAACACCAGCCGGCTTCGTATGTATGTATTTCCAGTCGGCCAGAAATTTTGCGATCAATAACAGTTCACTGCCTGATTGCCGTTTTGTTTCGTTTATTGCTTCGTTTAGATTTTATTTTAGGGAGTTCAAAATAAGATCACTTTGCCAGCGCGCAACTCAGTTTGCGGCATGTGAAATTCGCTCGTCCGTGCGCCGCGCCCGTTGGCACGCCGCCTGTCTGCCTGCCTGCTAAACTTTTGACTTCTCGGCGCTCCAGATTTTGCTTTTGCGTGAGTTTTATTTCGCTTTTTCGCAACGATGTGTGACGAATTTAAATTTTTGCCGAAAAATTGTAACTCGCACAGCTGCCCGTTTGTTTTCAGGGAGTGTACGTGATGAAATTTACAACAGTTTTTATTTCACCGCAGTGTTGAGTGGTGTTCGAAAATTCACAATCAACTTGCGTATAATTTCCTTGGACATGTCGTAGCGCTGATTTATGTTGGTAAAAAGTGATCAAAAGAGACCAAATTGTTGCAAAAATATTTGTTGATATTACAAATAGAGTATGAAGTTGGCTTGAGGAGGATTGAGGGTGGTTTAGATAAAGATCATGAGGAAATTTTTTTAAAAAGCAGTCCATAACTATACCGTAATCTAGAGCATTGAGTAGCAGCTTGGAAATTCTATGCCAATAACAAGTGGAGCTTCAAGTTTACGTTGCTGATATCGGGAATCGTATGAATATCTTTTAAGTTTTAATTGTCACCAAAAATATTCTATATTGCTG